CTTAGTCCACTTCTTTATACAGTCTATACCAGGGGTGGGCAAACTACGGCCCGGGCGACATATGGGGCCCTTTACTCTTTTTAATCCGGCCCGCCAAACTTGATAATAATGATAATAATAATAATAATAATAATTTTCTGTGTTTTAAAAATCATTTCTGTAAATAATAAGTACCGTGGGACTTGAAAGACAGATTTTTTTGTTGTGATGCTTTGTAATGATTTTCAATTATGGGATATTTCAATAACATTGGACATGATTTCTACAGATCCCGTGTTATTTTTTTCTCTCAAAAATTCCATCCATCTGCTCCTGGTTCGGCCCTTCCTTCCATTTTAGAACCCTTTGTGGCCCACGAGTCAAAAAGTTTGCCCACCCCTGGTCCACTTCCACAAATAAATCTCGTGACCACCTTAAGGCCAACTTTCAGTATCATAACACACCTTCAAAATGCACAGTGCAACTTTTCGGTCAAGGGTCCGTCACCTTCACGTGCTTAGATGGAATGTTCCACAGTGTGACATTAAACAGCTCTACCGAACTTTTAGTCAATTACAGGTGGTTTTATAGCTGAAAAATACTTCGAAAAACAGGCTTTCTGACTGTGAGCAGGGTCGCCTCTCCACAGATCTGACCTGTAACTCAGTCTAGTTTGGTCTCCATGAAGCTAGAAAGGTTTAATGTCATACCGCGAAGCATTCCAGACAACGCAATATCATCTCAGAGCCTCAGAAAAGTTACACAATGCAGCTTTAAATATCATATTTTCTGTTCAGGCTCGGTGGTTTTTATTTTTATTTTATTTTTGCCCTTTTCTGCATCGTAGGGACAATAGAGACGCATGTTGTGTTCACTTTATGGAGATTATATGGAAATGATCTATTTTATGCCAAATGGTGTATATAACTGTATAGTAATGGATTCACTGCCAACATTGGTAAAATAATAGTAACTTGTACTTCATAACTTCTGTGGATTTATTTTTATTTCCTACACTTTGTCGTAACCCTCTGCAGCGTTTTATCTGTTCAAATCTTCCATGCCTCGTCGTGAATTACAGGTCAGTTTGTTTCCTTGACAGTTGCTGGTGCGTTTTTCAGTATTGAGTTATTGTGGACTGAAACTTTTCCATATTTTGGAGCTGTTGTTGTTACTGGTACTACTTAAACGTGCTACTGTGATTGTGTGAATGTACGCGGATGGACAATGTATGTACAATATCCGGTTTAGTCAGATGGTTTTCAGTCAAGTGCCCATTTTGGACTCATTTCCTAACTGTTTTATGTGTCTTTTATATCTGATTTTTTTATAAACAAATAAAAAGAATGTGATGATAAAATGACTGAACGTATTTTATTGACAATTAAGAGTCGTACTTTTTTTTTTTTTTTTTACTTAAATCTTCCAGTGTTTTTGAGCTCTTCTGTCACGTTTAAACAGTGTTGGGGAGTAACAGATTACATGTACCAGAGTTACGTAATCAGAGTACAAATTATGAGTAACTGTATTCAGTTACAGTTACTGTTTCAGCGAGTGGTAACTGGATTACAGTTACTTTGTTGAAATAAATGGATTACATGGTGGTATTTTCGTGTTTTCACATTTTGGGCTAAACCAGGACTAAAACAGGACTAAACCAGGTCTAAACCAGGTCTAAACCAGGACTAAACCAGGACTAAACCAGGACTAAAACAGGATTTAACAGGACTAAACCAGGACTAAACCAGGTCTAAACCAGGTCTAAAACAAGATTTAACAGGACTAAACCAGGACTAAACCAGGTCTAAAACAGGATTTAATAGGACTAAACCAGGACTAAAACAGGACTAAACCAGGTCTAAACCAGGACTAAACCAGGACTAAACCAGGTATAAAACAGGACTAAAACAGGACTAAAACAGGATTTAACAGGACTAAACCAGGTCTAAACCAGGTCTAAACCAGGACTAAACCAGGACTAACACAGGACTAAAACAGGATTTAACAGGACTAAACCAGGTCTAAACCAGGACTAAACCAGGACTAAACCAGGTATAAAACAGGACTAAAACAGGACTAAAGCAGGATTTAACAGGACTAAACCAGGTCTAAACCAGGACTAAACCAGGACTAACACAGGACTAAAACAGGATTTAACAGGACTGAACCATGCCTCATGGACCGTGTCTCCTCCTCTTCTATCAATATTTTTTAATAAGGTTAAGTAAACACTGGGCTTTTTATTTTCTTTTAGCAGACAAAACATCTCATGTTACGATATCCTAGTCTTTGCTTCTGTACAGCAAATCAAATAATCAAAAGTATTCAGATTACATTACTCACCTTAAGTAATTTAATGGATTCCCTTATAAACTACATTTTGGGGTATGTAATCTGTAATCTGTAGGGGAATACATTTTAAAAGTCACCTTCCCAACACTGCATTTAAAGAGTCAAAAATGGACCCAAAAAACCGCCAGGATCACGTGACGTTCGCGGCGGCTGCAGGACAGAGGTAAGCGCGCGTCGCCTCACTTTAAAATGGTTAGACACGGTTAATGAGAATCTCGCTGAATGAAAGAAGGAATGTCTTTTTAAACAGAGGGAGAACTTCTTGTTTTCTTGCATCTTTCTCGGTTTAAGACATAACACATTTGGTTCATGTTCAGCACCACGGACAGTTACACCCGCTGCGTGCACTGTCGCCTAATGCCATTGTGTTGACAAAAGTTAGTGGTTTTCATGAATTAATAAATGCCACTTGCTTCCATGAGCCTGCATACAGCACATAAGGATGTTTTGTCCTATGAGCTTTTGACTTTACTGTAAACTTATGCACTGCTGTTGTTGCGAACTGATGTGTTTTTTTCTGACATTAAGCGATAGGTCCAGCCGACTAAATACCAGATGATTTCATTTATGTTTGTGTTTGGATGAAAGGTTGTATGGAGGAATTGTTTTTTTTTTAAGTTTCAAATTGTCAATGAAGGTTTAAAATACCATTACAGAAATGCAGCAGCCTTGTAATTATGATGACCAAAAAAAAAAAAAAGGAAAGAAAATCCATCAACTGTGGACGTGTTGAGGCCAGACAAACATCAGCCAATAGAAAACAAGGCTACCTCATTATCTATTGGCTGTTAGGTTGTCAATCAAACTGCCTACGTTTCTAGTGTAACTGACTCGCCAGCGCGCGGGGATTGCGTGGTTTATGCCGTGGTACTTAGAGGCTTTTTAAAACTGTAGCTTCCTCGCAATTCGCACAATGTTTGTTGCGATGGTGGACAAAAATCCACGACCAGTTCGCCGCAAAAGAAAGTCAGTTTTTAAGGTCGCTGAAAGAAGAAGAGAAGGAGAAAAGGAGCGAAGCCAAATTGAGGTGACTCTTGGAGATCTCTTCCAGCGATTGCACGAATGAAGCAGACAAAGGGTCTAAAAACTGACGTGTCGGTCGCTAAATTATTTCTAGACAGGTCACTTCAACAGAAATTCTGAACGCGCACTGGCTGTAAACAAGTGTAATTTCTAGAGTAAGGAGGCGGGAGGAGGTGTTTCTACTGAGGGAGCTGTGGAGGAGGAAGGTGGTGTCACTGTATTTCTCTTCCCATAAAAAATCCTCTCTACAACCTTTAAGTTAAACAACTATTTAAATAAATGAAATAAAAATAAAAAATTAGTGTTTGTTAAATGTTTTTATAAATTTTTTTATTTAGTAGGTCATGTGGCACGAGTATCAAGGATGTAAAGATCCCGGTCATCCCCATCATTTAAAAAAGAAATGTGTTTATGTTGTGTTTATTATTTCAGTGTTTACTCACATATACCGTATTATTAACATGTGACTTAATCTACGTGACCTCACTGTTTGGCCACGCGAGCTTGTAATCCAATTCAATTCAATTCTTTGCTGATTTATCACTCTTCTGTGTGGAGTTTGCATGTTTCTCCCCGTGTCTGGATGGGTTTCCTCCGGGGTGCTCGGGTTTCCCCCATCAACCCAAAACATGCTACAGGTCTCCAGGAAGAACAGTTGATAGTCAAGGTCAGTTAATACAATCAATCAATGAACCTGCCCAGGGACGACAGGTGGAAATTAGCACTGGTGCTACATTGCCTGGTGTGAAAGTGGTGTGTGTGTGAGTGATGGTGGTGGTCGGAGGGACCGATGGCGCCGATTGGCATGGCAGCCGCACTTCTGTCAGTCTGTCCTAGGGCAGCTGTGGCTACAACAGTAGTTTACCATCACCAGGTATAGAGTGAATGAATAATGCTGAATGTAATGCTCTGTAAAGCGCCTTTCTGACAAAATGTCTGAAAAGCACTATATAAATAAAGACTTACTTACTTAGTCTTCTTTCTGGACAACCAAGCAGCATTTCTCAACTTCAGCTGCAGGAACATTCGTCCAAGGCAGAGAGGATTTGTTGACTCACTCGCGCTCTCATGTGTCAGAACTGTATATTGCAGATGTACAGGCAGATCATGACAAGGCGTCCAAAAAAAAAAAAATCTCTTGCGACTCAGTCTTTGGGAAACAATGGTGCAGATGACAACAGAGCAGAAAAACGCATAGGACATCACCAGGTTTGGGGAGTAACTGAGTACATACGTGTGTTTTTCCTACTGTAATTAAACATAAATCATGAAGCAGAATTGTCCTTAAGCAGTATTCTAAATGTACAACTGGGCAATGTTTTTGAATGATTGCTTCTTCAGTTCTGGGCAGACGCTGGTGGACTCTGCCTTATATCTGCCTGAAGGGAGGAGCTAACAACAATGAAACTACTCTGAAACTAACACACTTGTTTACAGTTTCTGTTTGTAGCTCGGTTTATTAAACTGCAAATGGGAACTGCGTCTGAGTCATATTAGCATAATCGTTCAATTGTTCATAACCTTGTTCACAACCGTACATTATACACATAAAAAACATGGCTTTTAAAACTGAACTTTATTTGATTGACACACATACACACACATTAAAATATCGCAAAAGAATACTCCAATATATAACAGATAAACTGAAAAGGCTTGTCTGATGAGATGAAAAAGTCATGTGATCAGTCAGACTGTAAAAGCACAGTTAAAGCACAATAAATCTTGTATAATAATGTAATATAGATGTTAATTAATTAATCATTGCATTTATATAGAGCCTTTCAAGACACCCAAAGCACTTTACAGTTCATTATTCAGTCACTTCACACTCAGTGGTGTTAAACTACTACTGTAGCCACAGCTGCCCTGGGACAGACTGACGGAAGCGAGACTGCCAATCTGCACCATCAGCCCCTCTGACCACCACCATCACTCACACACACACCACTTTCATACTAGGCAACATGGGTGAAGTGTCTTGCCTAAGGACACAACAACAGTTTTTGCCACTGGCGCCCCCCTGTGGCACCTGATTTTCCCAGTGTCTCCCATCCAAGTACTAACCAGGCCCGGCCTTGCTTAGCTTCTGAGATCTGACAGGATCAGGCGTTGAAGAGCCAGTATGGCCATGATGTCATGTGTCAGATGTCATATATATTTAACATTTTAATAACAATCACAAAATGTACACATCCACCCACTCACAACACTGTATTGTGTTGTCAGAACATCTAGTCGAGCACAGAGCCGTAGACCTCCACCTCACACACATGCAGGTACTCTGTCCGTCCTGGGATCACTATGTTAACGTACCGACCGTCCATCCCATCACAGTTAAACTCCTCAGTGAAACCTGGAGGAATATTTGTGATGACTGCACACCTGAGAACACAGAACAGGTCATATCTTTAGCATTTCAAATTTACTTATATGGAGTAAGAAAGCTGTCAAAAATATTCGTGCGCATAAAATAGAAATCCGTGCGTATTTGGGAAATCCGTGCATATTTGGCTGTAGTTGCGCATAAAATAAATATTTGTAAACTCTCAAATGAGTCCAGTCGTACATAAAATATATTGTGTGTATTTTATCCATCAGAATACGAATTGAAAAATTACGACGTCATGAATTACAATCACGAAATGAAAATTTACGATTACGCTTTCATCAGTACGAATACGAATTCACAGACGGAACTTTACTGTCAAAAATACGTCATCACTTCACAGACATTATTCATCGAGCAGAAGAAACATCGATCAAGATCAAGACTGCACATGCTCAAGTTTGTAGCAGAGGGTAAAAACAGAGTAATAGCACAAGAAGCTACAACAGCGACCAACAAGTGGGTTAATTAAAATCTATTGTAAAAATGTCTTGAATTCGGGAACCGAACGCTGCTGTATAATATTGTGTAGAAACACCTCCTTTGAACGGGAAATTGCACCTATATGTTAGATAACATAGTGGAGCCAGTTGGCTAACATCCGACGTAACGTTATCCCAGGGCTAATTAACAAATATCAGGTTCTCTGTATGTTTAGAGTAAAACATTCACGACTACAGCCACAGCGAGCATCAGTCAGTCTTAACCTTCATCTCAGCTGCATTTCAGACAATGGGTTATACATGAGTTATAATGGGTTATAATGAGCAAATCCATCCACGTCACGGTGACGTTATACTTACCGGTAAATACTGTAAACATACCAAGGTGTTGCCTGTAAACACGAACATTAATTGATGCTGGAAGCTGCATTAAACTGTAATGTGTAACATTTCATTAGCTGTGACGTCTGTAACCAGGACAGTTTGGTAGTGTTTGGTGTAAACTGGGACATTTCAGCGTCCCGAGGAACTTTTGGTGGCATTTCATGCGAGAAATGCAGCTGAGATGAAGGTTAAGACTGACTGATGCTCGCTGTGGCTGTAGTCGTGAATGTTTTACTCTAAACATACAGAGAACCTGATATTTGTTAATTAGCCCTGGGATAACGTTACGTCGGATGTTAGCCAACTGGCTCCACTATGTTTTCTAACATATAGGTGCAATTTCCCGTTCAAAGGAGGTGTTTCTACACAATATTATACAGCAGCGTTCGGTTCCCGAATTCAAGACATTTTTACAATAGATTTTAATTAACCCACTTGTTGGTCGCTGTTGTAGCTTCTTGTGCTTTTACTCTGTTTTTACCCTCTGCTACAAACTTGAGCTGCACAGTCTTGATCTTGATCGATGTTTCTTCTGCTCGATGAATAATGTCTGTGAAGTGATGACGTATTTTTGACAGTAAAGTTCCGTCTGTGAATTCGTATTCGTACTGATGAAAGCGTAATTGTAAATTTTCATTTCGTGATTGTAATTCATGACGTCGTAATTTTTCAATTCGTATTCTGATGGATAAAATACACACAATATATTTTATGTACGACTGGACTCATTTGAGAGTTTACAAATATTTATTTTATGCGCAACTACAGCCAAATATGCACGGATTTCCCAAATACGCACGGATTTCTATTTTATGCGCACGAATATTTTTGACAGCTTTCTTACTCCATATACTTAATGTTATAAACTCTACTACTAAATTCTACATTACTTGTCATGTTAAAGGTCTTATATTACACAAAATTGACTCTAGTGAGCTTTAAATCATGTTAGAATGTTGTTGCCTCATCAAACACATACCTGGAGTTGTGTTTTATTTCATTCAGATATGTTTGAGTAACTGTTTATTATTTGTCTGTTTATATCTCCAAAGCTCAAAATGCTGTGTTTCATCTTGTGATGTCATGAAGTGATAGTTTTTAAGTTAACAGCTACCAGTTCTGTGACTTGTTTTGTGTGTGTTTTAATTTCTTTATTGTTCCCCTGGAATCCTGCTGTGAGAGCCCTAGTCCCTGATTGGTGAATTACCCAAACACCTGGAACAGCCTGTCTCACACTTCCTCCTCCTATTTAAGAACATTGCCAGCACATGTTCGGGGCTGCTGGCCTTTGTGGCCAGTATGTCATTTTGTGTTTGTGTTCGTGTGTGTATGTGTAGCTCTGTAGTTTAGTTCTGTTTTGTGCCTTTTTTACTTTGGTCTCTTGATTCTGTTTGTGGGCTCGTGTGGTTTAAATTGGGGCGCTGGTGTTTTAGTTTTGTGTGTGTCCCTTAGTTAACCACTCGTTTGTGTAAGCCTGCATTACCCATTTTGTGGCACAAAACGGGTAATGCAGTTTTGTTGATTTACCTTTACATTCCTGTTAATTAAACATTACTTCATTTATTCCATATAACATCTTTTTTAAAAATTGTTACTTCCCTCACTCCAAGTGACCTGGATCGTAACAGTCTATAAGTCAGTACTTTGAGGATCTCCTCACTCCTCACATCACGTCTTCCACGGAGGAAGTAGAGTCTGGGGACTCGGTGACTGACTCATCCATCACTCTGACTAAAGTTACTGTGATGCTTAAAGCTCCTCTGAGGCTCTGGGGGTAGAAGAAATCTGTCCTGAGTATCTTAAGTCTCTGGATGTTGTAGGACTGTCTTGGCTGACATGTCTCTGCAACATTGTGTGGCGTTTGGGGACAGTTGTTGAACACTGGACCAGCTCTATACTCTCCATCTAGAGCTCGAGGATGCATGGGAGTTTGGATGGATGTGTGTTTTCAGTTTCATTTGATCTATGACACCCGTAGATCATTGTTTTATATTTTGGACATGAATGGCTACGTGACACTGCTGAATCCATGTACACTTAGACCAGGGGTGTCAAACTCATCTTGGTCCGGGGGCCATATCCAACCTATTTTGATCCCAAAGGGGCTGGGAAAAAAAAGGGCATATATTCCCCAAAAATAGCAATAAGTTCAAATATTTGTGCAGAGAAATGCAAATCTATTACAGAAATCTTTTTTAATTGATGAACTCAAACTTTAAGAAAAATGCAACTTCAACACAATGTTTTAACGATAACTTGTATGTAAATAGGAATAAGTAAATTTTTCTTGGAAAACCCTAAACTCGGCGTCCACTTTTCTCATTTTGCTGATGAGGGTGTCACGGTCAACAGTCAAAACGATCGTCCTTTAAGAGCGTTTGGAAAGAGGTAAGTCTTCATTTGTGCTGCTCTGGAGGGAGGGGCCACGTACAGAGGCACTGGAGACGCTGCTATGTTAAGCGACGCAGAAAATTGCCAATGGTCTTGGAAGGCCGGATGTGGCCCCCGGGCCGAATGTTTGACACCCCTTACTTAGACAAACATTAAATTAGCTTACCTTGAGTTGTTGTTGCCATTGTTTTCAAGGGAATCTCCAATGCGAATCTCTGCTCCATCCAGTCTTGTGGAAGCCTCTATTACGTTGGTGACATTCACAGTGAAAATCCTGTGTGTTTTCCTCAAGTCCAGTCTCAACCAGGGGTTTAAGTTGTTATCGGTGTGTGAGCATGTACTCCACTCTGTGTTACGGTTTCCATCTATAGCGTTGTATGCTACGTAATTTTTATAGAGTGATGATTGTGTAGCTTTTCCCTGGAGGGCCAGATTTTCTCCTGCAAAAAAGAAACACAATGAATTTGATGATTGTCTGCAGTTAGGAGCCATGTGTAATGCTGGGTTTGTGGGGACAGAGCGTTCTATAGGACAACATTAATTAATACAGATGGGGGCAGCTAAAATTTTAATTGTTAAAATATTATGTTGTAATAAAGTGACTTTTAGGGTTTATGCACTAATAAAATACTGGGTTCAACATTTGTGAGTTTACCTTTTGGATATTTCATGGCAAAGTACAATGTAATCAATAGGGAAATCTGACGCTTGCCCCCCATTTGGGAGTATGACATCGTCACATTCTAGAACCTAAAAACTACTAATAAATCAAAACCTAAGAAGAATTAATTAAAAACAACAACAACAACAAAAAAGGTCTTGTTTACGCAGTTTTGACTTCTTAAAGATGCACTGTAACTTTTCCAGTGGAGGTTCTGCCATCTATTCGTCTCCATGAAGATGTTGTTTGCTCTGGCATGTTCTTCTATGGCATTAAACGTATCCATCTGGCTTTTACTCAGAAACATGGGCTTTTATCAACTTAAAAACTTGCATTCTTACTGTGAATGGGCTCGCCTGTACTGCAGACTATATAAAGAAGTGGAATAAGTGAGTGTGATGTCACCCATAGCGTTCAGGTCCAGTCAGATGAAGCTCGTAATGCTAGCGATTATAGGGGTGAATTTGAAGCCAGGCTCTATATTAGGAATAGGATTATTTTTAAATAGGCATGATAGTGGTAAAAAAAATATCAGGATCATGTAGAGCAGATTAATATGAACATTTTAAGACCAAAATGATGAGGCTCACAGCTGCAGTTATAAAGACAGGGGCCACAATATTCCAATGTAAGTCAATGGGAGCCAGAGTCAGTAGGAGCCAGAAGAGCCGCATGCGAATTTACTATTTGGAACGCGGTGGCTAGCACATTAGATAAAGTTACCAGAAAAGTTATGCAGTGCACCTTTTAACATTTTTTCAATTTGAATAATAAATCTGACCGGTTGGTGCACGGTATCCATAGACCTCCACTTCACAGAGGGTCAGGAGCCTGCCGGTTCCGGGTAGAACCACAGAGACATATCGGCCCTCCACTCGTTTGCTGAAGGTGGTGGTGAAAGAGCGACCTGCTGGGATGTGTGGGAGCGTCGCCACTCTGAGGAACACACAGGAATATAAATGACAGTTCATGTGACAGGTTTTCATGTTTTTCTAATTCTTACTTACTATATAAATCCAATGATTAATTAATTTGGTGGGATAGTTATCAGTTTTACACCAAGTAATGTTACCATTTAAAAGTGTAGTTGATTTTTTTTCCCAGTAGATGGCAGATGTGAGCTCTGTTTCCCCTCTCTGCTCTGCCAAAGGTGGCACACTACCAGACTGCAGTAAGGTAGACAGCATCTAGTGGTTGTATGTGAGAATACAACGGTCGGGTCAGCCTGTCTAATTACAAATTCTAGCTTTAAGTTAAGTTTGTGGAAAAAACTTTGACAAGAAATGTATAAAAGTTGTGGGGGAAAAAAATACCTTGGGGGACTGAAAAAATGCATACACTAAACTCTGAGGCGAGAGAAATGTAATTTTATCCAAAATAAAAGGTGACCAATGAGCTCCTTTGTTTCTCATGTGTAACTGAAATCATCAGATGACACAAGTGAAATGAGGGAGAGGCCAGACTGAAATCCTCTGTATAAAAAAAATACAGACAAATATCATTCTGGATTTACTAGACTTATTGAAACTCAGACACACAGTCTCTTGCTATTTTTGCTACTTATTTAGATTTTATGATTAAACCATACCATTCATATTTTTCCCCTTGAGTTGTTATAATATATTGTGATGTGTGAGCTCCTGTGCCCAAATAATTTTCCTTGTGGATCAATAAAGTTTGTCTAAGTCTAAGCTTAAAAAATACAAACTTAATTCTTTTACCAGCCAAAGATATTGTGATATGAACCTCTTTACATGTTACCAGCCTTAACCCAGAGAGTTTCACTTACACAGGATTCAAATTCCCATTATAGAGCAACGAGTTGCCCACATGGATCTCAGCCCCGTCCAGTCTCTCAGGGCAGCAGTCTCCTCTGTTTGTGATGGTGATGGAGGTGACGATGTAGGTCTCCAGCAGGTCCACTCTCCACCAGGGGTTTGTCTGCGTCTTTGTCACAGCACAGGACCCTGCGTTGTAGTCAGATTCCCGGTTCCCATCGATGGCATTTGAGGCTGCCGAATATTCACTGTTGTATCTGTTGGACTGTGTAGCTTTGCCACGAAGAGCCACATTTTCTAAGAAACGATGAAAACAAGGAAAATATAAACATAAACATTGTAATTGTTCTGGGGGACAAAATCAGTTCATACTTACGGTAGGTACGGGCATAGGATGTCGTCAAGGTGACCAAGAAAAACAAAACTGTGATGTCCTTCATTTTTGCTAAAATAATAGGAAAAAATACTTAAAAGGTGCTCTATATTATATATATGTGTGTGTGTGGGGGGGGGTCGCTAAGAGCGAGTGAGGCATCGACTCACTGATCCACACCACAAGGATCTACAGCACAAACATTGGAATGTCATTCAGGCTTGAGAAATGTAGCAGGATGGTGACAAAGAGAGGGAAGGTAGTCCACACAGAGGGGGTCTCACTCCCAGAGGGAACAATAGCAAACGTTGAGGACAGTTACAAGTACCTTGGTATCCCACAAGTAAATGGCAACCTCGAAGAGGCAACAAGGAAAGTGGCTATGGCCAAATATCTGCAAAGAGTAGACAAGTCCTAAGAAGCCAGCTCAATGGAAGAACAAGGTGCAGGCAGTAAACAGCTATGCCCTGCCAGTAATCAGATCCCAGCAGGAATCATGCACTGGCCAAAGGAGGAGATACAGACCACGGATGTTAAGAGAAAGCTCCTGGCCATGCAGGGTTCCATCTCAAATCCAGAACCCTGAGACTGTACTCAAAGCCGGAAGGACGGAGGCCGAGGACTAGTGAGTGTGTGAGCCACTTTCCAGGATGAAACATCCAAGCTCCTTGAGTACATCAAGGACAAGGCCCCGACAGATGAGGTTCTCAGAGAATGTCTCAGACAGTGGGGTCCAGAGGAAGAGGTGCTGGAGGGACCATCATGGCAGGACAAGCCCTACATGGGGCGAACCATCGGAGTGGTTGATATCAAGAAATCCTACCAATGGCTTGAGAGGGCTGGTCTGAAGGACAGTAAAGAGGCTCATCCTGGCTGCTCAGGAGCAGGCCCTGGGCACTCGAGCAAAAGAGGCCCAGATCTACCACACCAGACAAGACCCACGGTGTAGACTGTGCAAAGAAGCTCCTGAGACAGTCCAGCACATAACTGCAGGGTGTAAGATGCTGCAGGGAAAGCATACATGGAGCGACATAACCAAGTGGCGGGCATAGTGTACAGAAACATCTGTGCAGAGTACGGGCTGGAGACCCCAGGATCAAGGTGGGAAATACCTCCAAAGGTTGTGGAGAATGACCGAGCCAAGATCCTGTGGGACTTCCAGATACAGACTGACAGGATGGTGATGAACCAACCAGACATAGTGGTGGTGGATAAGAAACAGAGCAGAGCCGTGGTGGTGGACATCACAATACCAAGCAATGGTAATATCAGGAAAAAGGAACAGGAGAAACTAGAGAAATACCAGGGGCACAAGGAGGAGCTGGAGAGAGCCTGGAAAGTGAAGACATCAGTGGTGCCCGTGGTGATCGAAGCACTCGGGGCTGTAACCCCCAAACTGGAAGAGGCTACAACAGATACCAGGAAAAACAACGGACATGTCAGTCCAGAAAAGTGCAGTACTGGGAACAGCACAGATACTGCGCAGAACTCTCAAGCTCCCAGGCCTCTGGTAGACGACCCGAGCTGAATGAGGGTGAGAGACCAACCACCGTGGAAGGTGAGGAGCACATTTTTTTCATATGTATATATATATATATATATATATATATATATATATATATATATATATATATATATATATATATATATATATATATATATATAATATATATAAAAAACAAGTACAACTTACTGTCATCAAGAGGATCTCTGTTAGTGTGTAGTGCAGTGACCAGAGGGAGCAGTATTTATACACATGCCTTATCTCTTTGAACTGTGATTTTAGGTTCAAAGAGATAATTCTTGTTGATGTTGTAAGTATGTACTGCACATGAGCAGCTTAATGTTTAAAGGATTTTATGGGAAACTTCACTTCAGGACTACTCCCTCATAATTACTGGAAAACTTAAGAAAAAAATCTAAATACAAAAGAGAACGTTTGTACCCTCACAAAGACTTTGCATGATGACTCATCACAAACAGACCTGGAGTTGTGTTTTGTTTCATTAACACACGTTTAACAAACAAACCCTGTGTATTTAGGCTGAGTTCTTCTTTCAAATGGAAAACACTCTGTTCCACCTTGTGATGTCATGTGAGGTCTCAGTGCTCCACTGTGTTTTTAATCACCATGCACATTCACTAGAATCATTTGGATGATTTCAGTCCTGGAATTGCTAATCTCCATCCATCCATTTTCTTCTGCATATCCGGGGCCGGGTTGTGGGGGCAGCAGTATAAGAAGGGCCTCCCTGACTTCCTTCACCCCAGACACGTCCTCCAGCTCCTCCGGGGGGACCCCGAGGTGTTCCCAGGCCAGACAAGAGACATAGTCCCTCCAGTGTGTCCTGGGTCTTCCCCTGATCCTTCTTCCAGTGGGACATGCCCGGAACACCTCCCGAGGGAAGCGCCCAGGAGGCATCCGGAACAGATGCCTGAGCCACCTCAGCTGACTCCTCTCGACATTGAGGAGCAGCGGCTCTACTCCGAGCTCCTCCCATGTGACTGAGCTCCTCACCCTATCTCTAAGGGAGCGCCCAGCCACCCTGCGGAGGAAACTCATTTCGAGCGCTTGTATCCGCGATCTCATCCTTTCTGTCATTACCCAGAGCTCATGACCATAGGTGAGAGTAGGAACGAAGACTGACCAGTAAATCAAGAGCTTCGCCTTTCGGCTCAGCTCCCTCTTCACCACAACGGTCCGATACAGCGACCGCATCACTGCAGAAGCTGCACCGATCCGCCTGTCAATCTCATGTTCCATCCTCCCCTCACTCGAGAACAAGACCCCGAGATACTTGAACTCCTCCACTTGAGGCAAAGACTCCCCACCCACCCGGAGAGGGCAAAACACCTTTTTCCGGTTGAGAACCATGGCCTCGGACTTAGAAGAGCTGATTCTCTTTGCAGCTGCTTCACACTCAACTGCAAACCGCCCCAGTGCACACTGCAGGTCCTGGCTTGACGAAGTCAACAGGACAACATCATCTGCAAACAGCAGAGATGAGATCCTGTGGTCCCCAAACCAGACCCCCTCTGGCCCCTGACTGCGCCTAGAAATTCTGTCCATAAATACAATGAACACAACCGGTGACAAAGGGCAGCCCTGGCGGAGTCCAACATGCACCGGGAACAGGTCTGACTTACTGCCGGCAATGAACACAGCTCCTGCTCCAGTCAGACCCCATACTCCCAGAGCACCCCCCACAGGACACCACGAGGGACACGGTCGAATGCCTTCTCCAGATCCACAAAGCACATGTGGACTGGTTGGGCAAACTCCCATGAACCCTCGAGCACCCGATGGAGAGTGTAGAGCTGGTCCAGTGTTCCACGGCCAGGACGAAAACCACACTGCTCTTCCTGGATCCGAGGTTCGACTATCGGCTGGATTCTCCTCTCCAGTTCCCTGGCATAGACCTTACCGGGAAGGCTGAGGAGTGTGATTCCCCTGTAGTTGGAACACACCCTCCGGTCCCCCTTCTTATACAGACGGACCACCACCCCGGTTTGCCAGTTCAGAGGTACTGTCCCCGTCCGCCACGCGATGTTGAAGAGGCGTGTCAGCCAAGACAGCCCTGCAACATCCAGAGACTTAAGGTACTCAGGAAGGATCTCATCCACCCCCGGAGCCTTGCCAACCACCTGAGTGACTTCAGCCAGGGTGATGGACGAGTCCGCCTCCGACTCCGAATAGGTTAGAACAGTACAAACAGTTTTCACTGAATTACCGTAGTTCTGTTTTTATTTTTGTTAAAATCCAGTAAAAGAAATGATGTAAAATTACCAACCAAATGCTGAAATATATACCCCATATCTTCAAAACAACATTCACAGTATCAGTATTTCAAGAATCTGCCCTCTACTGGTGTGTATTGTTTTCCCATATCCTCCTGTCAGATGTGTTTATGGGCTTCAGGCCCTGTCTCTTACTTGTCCTTACCATACTTCAGAACATTCTGCATGGGGATGGATCTTATTTAAAAGTAGCCTTTCACTTGACTGACAAACCAAATTGCTACTGTTGTTCTTGTTTGGGAGTGTGTGTGTATGAGTAGATTAATAATAACAAAACAGACATATAAAAATAGACTAATGAAACAAAAAAGGAGGAACATAAGGGAGAAAGATGAAGAAAGAAGTGAAAAACAATAATGAGTTTCCTTTTTGTTGCTTTTTCACAGTTTTGATAAAGTGAGTTAGTGTCTGACTCATAACTGTAATAAACTCATTGTAAAAGGATAAACTCATTCTCATTCATTTTTTTTTTGGTCTTTAATTTTAATACTTTCTACATTTTCTATACATACAGAAGACACCAAATAGATGAAGAAAGATAAAGCAGGATGTATGGACTTATGCAGTGGCTACTTTGAGGATTTGAAGATCAAATAGATTTTTTTTCCTTTGCTAAATAATTTCATATACAGTCATGGACAAAATTTTTCATCAACAATCATCACTGAAATAACTTGAAACTGAGAAAAGCAATTATAAATAAAACATTACTGAAAATTGTCCAACAAAAATCAAACATTGTTTTTCACTTGTGGTTCAACAGAATTATTAGAAAAAACAAAATGATGAAACTGGCCTGGACAAAAATGATGGTACCCTTAACTTAATATTTTTGTTGCACAACCTTTTGAGATAAACTCTGCAACAGATGATTACAGTCATGTCACTGAGACTTCTGCTTTGGTCAACAGGTATTTTGACTCATTTCCCGTGAGTAAACTGTTAGTTCTCTCAGGTTTGAAGGGTGTCTCTCCAGACAGCATGTTTCAGCTCCTTTCACAGATGTTCAGTAGGATTGAGATCTGGGCTCACAGATGGACACTCCAGAACAGTCCAATGTTTTGTTCTTAGCCATTCTTGGGTGTTTTTAGCTGAGTGTTTTGGGTCATCATGACCTACAACCGAGACCAAGCTTTCTGACACTAGGCAACACATTCCAACGTTCCAAAATACCTTGATAGTCTTGAGATTCTGTTGTATTTTGCACAGATTCAAGACACCCTGTGCCAGATGCAGCAAAACAGCCCCAGAACAAAATCAAGTCTCCTCCGTACTTCACAATGGGGACAGTGTTCTTTTCTTGGTCTGCTTCATTTTTGCATTTGTGAACATAGAGCTGATGTGCCTTGCCAAAGAGCTCTAGTTTTGTCTCCTCTGTCTAAAGAACATTCTCCCAGAAGCTTTGCGGTTTGTCAATATGCACTGTGGCAAATTCCAGTCACACTTTTTAATGATTTGTTCTCAACAGTGGTGTCCTCACGTGAAGTCCACTTGTTTGTTGTAGTGATGGATGGTGCAATCTGACATTGATGTACCTTGCCCTTTGAGTTCACATTTAATTTGTTTGGAGGTTGTTCTGGGTTCTTTGTCTCCATTCGTATGATCCATCTCTTCAATTTGTCATCAGTTTTCTTCTTGCGGCCGCGTCCAGGGAGGTTGGCTTCAGTCCTGTGGACCTTAAACTTCTGAAGAACCTGTGTAACTGTAATCAAAGGAACATCAAGCTGCTTGGAGATGGTCTTATTGTCTTTATCTTTAACCTGCTTGTCTATCATTTTCTTTCTTTTCTTTCTGGTTCATGTTCAGTGTTGTGTCCATCATGTCTCCAAACAGCACAATGACACATGTCGTTCTTTAAACAGACAGACTGACTGAGGACAAGTTTGAAGAACCAGTGATGCAGATTGGAGACACACCTAAGTTTAACATGTCCCTACTGACCAAGTATTTACAATCTTTTCTAGGGGTCCAAGCCAGTTTCATTAGTTTGTTTTTTTAAATAATTCTGTTGAAGAACAATTCAAAAACAGTGTCTGATTTTTATTGGTTATTTGTCAAGAAATTTTTATTTATTATTGCTTTTCTCGGTTTCAAGTTATTTCAGTGAAAATTGTTGATTTTTCTTTCCTTACCAGAGGGGTACCAACAATTTTGTCCACGACTGTATCTTACTTCATATATTTGATGTCTTCTGCATGTATAGAAAATGCAGAAAATAGTAAACATACACAAATAATTAGCTTGCAGGTGAGTTCCTGGTTAGATAAATCACACATAAATAGTCACAATAATAAAGATACAAACTGTGATAGGATACAATACAAATCTTTATAATGCTGTTTTATTGATGTTTCTGTACAATGTGTTCATGCAGTCTTTTTTTTTTTTTTTTTAAGATTTTTTTTAAAACAGTTGAAGTCGGATCTCATTATTTAAAAGATCCAAATCCTTTTCTTTCTAGTTTTATAGTTTTATGCATTTTATACTGATTTGAAGCTGAAAAAACACAAGAATTACGTTAGAGTGACTAGACTTTCTTATTTACCCAAGACAGTCCCAGTTTTAAGCAATGTGATCCCCGTCCCAGCAAATTTATGCCAAACCACAAAACAAGCGATTTGTTCCAGTTTTATACAAGAAATGTTCCAGTTGTCCCCATTTCTGACCAATTTGATCCCCACCAACAGTAAAGAGGGGAATTTGCTGTCATTTGTTTAGCTAAAATATAGAAATTACAATTTTTAAAAAAAGCAATGATAGTCCCTCAGATTATGACTGACCCACAAGTGAGTTGAGAATGGACAATGTTATGTGCTCTTTTCACAGTTTTATCTATCCCAACCCAGGTGTGTGTTTTTAATTCTGAAAATCGGGTCACCCTAATCCTGTTACATATATTGGCTTCTGTCATATAAATAAATATGCGAGTAAAAGAGCAGATCCCATAAGAACCAAAAGTCCCATCTCTAGCCTTCATTTCCCATAATGCTTTAATCTCGCGAGACTTAAACACGGTACTCGTTGTGCGGCTGCGCAGTATCATTGGGAGAGTGAAGAGTGCCAACTAGGGGAGTTGGCCTGAAAAGCAGCAGCTCACCTCATGATGGCGCACACGTCTCCGGTGAGATTCCTGCGACAGGAGGTGGAGGTGAGGTACTCCTGGGGGTTCAGTCGGTACGTGTCAATCATGAAGTTACGGTAGGCCAGGTATCTGAGCACATGAGAGAACAGTCAGACGTACGGCAAAACACAGTCAGACATAATGAGATCCACCACTCACATCTCTGGGGTTTTAGACTTGTTTTTGCCATTGAAGAACTCAGGAAGGGCTCTTCTCTCGATCTCGTGGATACTAGTGGATGAGAAGCAAAGTATAATTTTAATCCATATCCCTTTTATATACACAGACGATAACTACTATATTAACTTATCGTTCAAAATATGAAAGCTGGAACAATATTTTGGGGCTCAATATTTATCATGTGGACATTTCCTTTGCTTTTCGAGGGACATTTTTATCATTTTACTTGTAATACAAAAAGATTTGTGATTTAGAGGGTTGAATAAGTCACTTCTATGTCTAATTATTGGTTCATTCAGCTATTCATGTGTATATATGAAACATATATATATATGTGTGTGCAGGGGTGGGCGATATCTCGATATTTTAAATATATGGAGATATTTTTTAAACTTGATATGGATTCTCACATATCCTATATATTGATATGACGCTTATATTCAATTCTGATTTCGCCACTTCGCTTGTTTGCCTTCTCTGTGGTTGCAGGCCCCCGCCTCCCTGATTTTGCTGTTTGTGTCTCATTCACTCCTCACTACCACCGTGAATGCTGAAAGTTGGTGCCAGTGAAAAGCTTCAAGCACCACAAAACTTCTCCACCATTTACAGATAAGACCATCAGCAGCACATCCTCTGTCACAAGAACACTCATCTGAATGAACACTGAGTCGTGTCATTTAGTCCGAAAGAAGCTGAACCACATCAGCAGCACATGGAGCACGCTGTTTATGCAAATGAGCCATGCGGTTTTGTTTCTATAAAATGTAAACACATGTGGCAAAACTGCATTAAACACATTATAATCTCAAACAGGCAGATCTATAATCGTTAAGATTTATTTGCTGTAAAGTTTAGTCATGTGAAGTTTATTTATGCAGAAGATTTTAATGAATAATCTGCTGCAGTGTAACTTGAACAATAGTGTTTGGACACGTTGGGTTTGATCTGCAGTGGATTGTGGGAAACCTCAGAGCTCCTTACACTGGTGAGGAACATGGATCTGTTAAAATAAGGAACCTCCTGAGCTTCCTCTGCTAAAGGAGCTCAAGGTTATTGTACGGTTACAGAGTTAATGCAAAGATGAGCTTGAGCTGAGTTGTTTTATTTATGAATGAAAAGAAGGCAATATGTATTATTTCTTTCATTTTACAGTTAAATTATTATTTATGTGATATGGGATTTTTTGTAATCTTAAATGTGGCAGAAGCATTTTGTTCCTACATGAACTGCCTACCCCTTGCACTTCAGTAAAAAAGACCTTGTGAAATTTGTCGTATTTGTTTTTGCAGTAGTTTTGGGAGTTTATTTTTCCTGTACACATATCAGGATATTATCATATATCGAGATATAGAAAAAATATATTGAGATATATTTTTTGCTCCATATCACCCAGCCCTGTGTGTGTGTGTTAATGAGATCATGAAAAGACAGCTACGATTATGTCTAAGCCTGTCACACCGCATTATTAAAAGGCCAAAGTTGTAACAAATAAATAGCCGAACGAAGCAGTAATTTCCCATAGAAGTGACTTATTCAACCCTCTAAAGCACAAATCCTTTCGTATCACATAAAAGTAAATAAATAAACCTCTCAAAGTAAAAGTACACATGATATTGAGCTCAGAACAATGAGTCGATATAGTAGTTATTGTGTCAGGCTTGTGTAGTGGACGAGTCATGATTATTTGACCAATCATTACAACTTTTTTTTTACATGATGCTGCCCTCTGCTGGACACTCACCAGTTGTAGTCGAACCAGGCGCCGTAGCTGGGGACGATGATGTGGTGGGTTTGTTCGGTCACGTTGTCCTCTCCGGAGTCCAGCAGGCGGTTTGTTTCACCTTTGCCCTGCTCCTCATCATCCTGCACAGAGAACGTTATAGAGACAGCAAAATTAATCATGTTTTTTCCTTGTATTGTCTTCATAAAAAAGCCTTCTGGCTGTAAACCTCTCCATTAAAAAGACCTCAGCTCATCATGATTCAAAATTATGAGAATCTCAATCTCTCCATTAAAATATTATTACTTATGTGCATAGAACAAGTCTATCACAGAAACCCTGTCAACAATAGACAAAAGCATGAGGAAAAGTCAGGAAAAGATGGCCGACGGACAGTGTCTAGATACAAGCATGCAGACTGTACATGCGACAGATACGGCGCTACAAAGGGACCATAAGGACAGGAAAGGCGTGTGGTGGTACCTCCTCCTCTTTGGGGAAAATCCTCTGGCGGAAACTGAAGGGCTTCTTGTTGTCATCCATCTCATAGTCCTCCTCATTCATCCACTCATTAAAGGCGTCTGTGTCCAGCACCCACTTGGCATGGACCTAAAAAACAATGGTTAAAGGTGGACTGTGTAACATTTCAGATGGGGGGGGGGGGTCTGTCACCTTCTTGCTTCTATTGATAGATCATTGCTCTACTTGGAATGTCCCACAGTATGACATTAAACAGATGTACTCTACATTTATTCAATTACAAGTGGTTTTATGGCTCAAAAATAACTAGAAGAAAACAGGCTTTCTAACAGTGAGCACGGTTGCCACAGATATGACCTGTAATTATCCGCAATTGAAAATTGTTTTGAAAATAAGCAATTAAAAAGATTACTCAAATTTACACACCACATCACTTCAAAAACAAGTTTTAATCTCTAAAAACGTGAGAACAAACAACTATAACATGGTTAAAAGTAAATGTCTGCAGAAGGGCTAAGTTACTCCTCACTTAATTTATGTGCTCAGAGAATCCTAATTATTCCCCCAATGAGTTTGTAAGAGACCACCAACTAGCATGCTAACACACACTCCCTGACAATCTGACCATAAAATGCTTTACAATTAGATGCAGACAGATAAACTGGGTACAGGCCCTTTGAGAGTACTGTACTTCTCTACCCAGGACATACAGATGTACCACCAATGACAGAACTGAAGTGATTTTAGATGCATTGTTGATAACAGTCCTCACCTTCCATGGTCGGTCAGAGCTCGGGGGATCCTCCACATCTCCATCCACCTCATTGGCCGACATCCAGGTGTCATAACTGATGAAAAAAAAAAGTTGTGAGACTGAGAGTGTGTATTTCAAAAGGTGAAATAAAAAATAAATAATTTGATTTAATTTATACAGGAGAAAAAGAAATGAAAAGAAAACAATATCATATGAATACATTTACAAACAGCTTTTCAAACATTACAAATTGATTTCAGAACTACACAATCATGTAAGTGTATCATAGCTTATTTTTACATGCACAGTTTTTCCCATTCAAAGTGACATCGTTCCTTAAATCTAATCCACTTTGAAAAGCTCCTTTAAGTTCTGAAAGTTCATAAACTGACTGGGCACAAGACTAAGAAAGTCATTCAAACCAATACACCCTGTTACACCGACTTCAGCGGAGAGCAGGTCCAGGTGAGGCAGAAAGAGGTCTGGTGGTTTTCAGGTCATTAAGGTTTTATTGAAAGAACCCACATCAAACTGCATTGTTTTGGTCAAATCTAACAGATTATGCAATTTTCTGATGTTATAATATTGTTTCCACATCACAAACACACCTGGAGTTGTGTTTTGTTTCATTCACACATTTAACACACAACACCACACTGAAAACATGCTTAAATCACTCTATTCCACCATGTAATGTCATGTGGTAATACAGGAAATGCTCCACTGTGTTTTTAAACTTCACTAGAATCACGTGGATGATTTCAGCTCTGAAGGTAAAAGGAGTTATTAACTTGACATCACAAGGCGGAACAGAGCGTTGTGAAGTTTGGAGATGTAGACAGACTAAT